ATGTTAATCGCATATATTCATTATGCACTCACAATATTTAAATATGGTTCACATTTACAATCATCATACATCACATACGAGCAATATGCACTTGCAAATATCGTGCCAAGCGGCAATAAACTCAATCACATCCATCATGCATTTTCAATCAATTTAAACAATGTGTCACATTATCCAAAAGGCCACGTATTCACAATCAACTCATAATCTAGGATTCACGCCATACGGCTACCCATAGCATACATAACAGCATATAATTAGTCATCTCAGACAAGGAATGATCGCAACCAAACCACACAATCAATCCACGAATGGGAAACACAAGAAAAGAAAATATGTTGCTGTGTTCGTTAACCTTCGCCTGGTGAAGCCTCTAGCGAACCTTCGCCACTCCGTTCGCCTGGCGAACTCACCAGCGAAGATCACTGGGATTTATTCTGGAATTACTCGCTAGCACACTCGCCTGGCGAACCTTCGCCACACTCATTCGCCTGGCGAACTTGCCAACGAAGATAGGGTGTTTGGTTCTGACTTGATTCGCTACCATTCGCTGGGCTTTGCTTGGCGAAGCCTCGCTGCCATTCGCCTGGCAAACCTGCGAGATCAGAACTTCCATGGCTGTCCAAAAGCCCAAATCTCACAAAACCAACTGATTTAATCCAAATCAATTCCAGTAGCACAGCCCGCTCATCACCCGACTATACTACACCGCCTATTCCAAATTCTAACCGATAAAACTCCGTTTCTACCGATTAAATCCACTTCCGACCTAAAAATGGAAAAATGTAGGAAACCCCCAACAAATCCGAACACACACATGCATAATCATACACATTGATTAAGATAGTAAGATTTCACACCCTTACCTCGATTAATCGGAAGCTAGAAGTCGTTCTTGAGCTTTTCCAAGCTTTTCCTTCTTTTTCCTTCTACTTTCTCTTCTTCCTCCACTTTCCTTTCATGTTTTCTATCATCCATTGTCGTTCCTCTTCCCCCATATATATATGTCCTGCCTTCCTATTTCTCTCCAATTATATTTCTTCTCTTAAAATATTTGTCAATTCATTTTCTCATAAAATATCTCATCTTGACATTGGTTAGAAAACATCTGATAAATCCTCATGATTCTACCAAATAGAATAAATCAGTTAAACCCAATAATTCACTTAAACCATACAAACCAACTAACTAGTACAATTAATCAGTTATTAAAAATCGGGCTGTTACAACCTGCGTCGAGAAATCTCATCATTTTGTCTTCGACAACTACCTTGTAATTCTTTTCGACAAGCTGCCCTATACTGAGCAAAATACTCTTCATGCTTGGTATGTACAACACATTGGAAATTTTTGACCTTTTGTCATCTTTCCTCATAATCAGAACATCGCCAACACCTTCGGCTGCTAGAGTGTTGTCATTTGCAAACTTCACTGTGTTCTTCGACGAGGGCTTCATATTGACAAACCAATCTTTCCTTCCAGTCATGTGTGATGAGCATCCTGAGTCCAAGTACCACTGATCTTGGAATCTTTCTTCATCTTTTGTTGTGACCATTAGCAACATTTCTTCTTCTTCATGTTTCACCAGCTTTGCATCAGCCTCTTGATTTCTCTTCCTTTCTGGACAATCACTAACATAATGACCATACTTCTGGCAATTGAAACATTGAATGTGGCTTTTGTCTGTCTTTCGACCACCACCTCTTCCTTTACCTGCAGCACCACCTCTTTGGTTGCCTTGGTTCCAAGGTTTCTTCTGATTCGACTGGATTCCTGCTTTGTTGCCATTCCAGCTACCTTTGCCTTTTATTTCCTTTTCTGACTGCGCCTGCAAAGCCATATCTTTCGACTTTCCTGTAGCTCTCTCAGCCATCCTCTGTTCATGAGACTCAAGAGTCCCTTGAAGCTCTTCCTTCGTCAACACTGACAGATCTTTCCACTCTTCTATGGAAACTACCACATGGTCAAATTTTGGAGCCAACGATCTCAAAATCTTTGAGACAACTGCTTTCGTTGTTAGCGCTTCTCCACATACTTTGATTTGATTCACAAACTTTGTAACTCTGGTGAAGAAATCTGTAATGCTTTCATTGTCTTCCATCTGAAGCAACTCATAGGTTCTCTTGTGAGTTTGTAACCTCACCTCTTTCACCTTCTCTGTGCCTCCAAACGAATTTTCAAGAATCTCCCATGCTTCTTTTGCTGAATCAACATCACTAACCTTTTCAAAGTTATCAGGATCAACACACTGATGAATTATAAAGAGTGCTTTATAATCCTTTTTCCTCAATTCTTTGTGCGCAGCCTTTTCCGCCTCCAACGCGTTCTCCCCAAGCAATGTTACTCCGTCCTTCACAAGATCCCAAAGATCTTGATAACATAAAATCACCTTAATCTGCTTGCACCAATTCTCATAATTGTCTTTCTTGAGAATTGGCAGGGTCGCCGGAAAGTTGTCGTTCGGATAGTTCATCGCCATCACTATCTTCCTTCCTTGAATCTCTCAACCGGAGCTCTAGATACCAGATGTTGGAAATTCACCTCACACTCTATGAAGAATTCCCTTCAATCTTGATCTCAAGATTGACGAACAAACCCACAGTATGATAGTAATGGTGATAACAAGTAAAGAGTTATCAAGAACAACAAAAGAAAAGAAGAATAACAAACAAGAAAGAAAGAGAAGAATGAGAGAAGAAATATTTGGAGAAAATGTGTTACCCACAACTGTGGGATTTCTGATTATATTGAACTTTCACTTGCTAAACTCTGCAACTGTGAAATTTGTTCTATGTTATGTAGAATACAAAGCAAGGCACCCTATTTATAGTTTTAGGTTTACAAAAGCTCAAAACATAAAAGGCCCAAAATATTCAAAATCAAATCTAATCTAAATCATATCAAATCAAATTTGTTTACACTATGAATTATATTTAACATATGGCCTTTTCTGTGGTTTATGAATTTGAGTTTATTACGAACCTTAAACACGTGGGCTTGATTCTATCTAAGGTTGTTTTAGTCACTTTTTATAAATTGGAACAACAATGTATTGTTCCCACTCCCTTTTTAATTAATACCATTATAGTTGTAGGATCAACAATGTACTAGTATTTATTTTGGGTATAGTTAAGTTCAAAAATTGGAACGACACTAAATATATTGGTTCCTCTAAATTTAGTTATTTGGTTTGACAAGATATGTTTTAATGTTTAGTGACTCACATGTTAATTGTTTTCTATATAGAAAATGGATCGTACTTGGATGTATAATAGAGCATATTCCGATAGACACGGATTGAAAGAAGAGTTTGTTCGTGGGGTTAAAAAGTTCGTGAAGAAGGCTTTGAATCAACCCATTTGTAAATCTGAGGGAGGGATAAGGTGTCCGTGCATAAATTGCAAGTGTGGTAAGATAAGTACATCAACTAATGTAAGACTTCACTTATATCGAGATGGATTTCAACCAGACTATTGAATTTGGACTCAACATGGAGAAGTGGAGCTCAATATTGATACAAGGGGTGGCTCAAATAGTAGTGAACATGTGTGTCAAGCTGACCAGTTTGAGGCAATGGATAAAATGGTGTATGACGCATTTAGGCCTTATGGAGGTTTCTCTCATGCTAATGATAACATGGAACAAGAGGAATTTTTGGAGGACATTTTGATGATGTATATCCTGATTTTGCTAGGGAACCCAGAAATGTAAGATTGGGTTTGTGTTCAGATGGATTTACTCCTTACATTCAAGCATCTGCTTCTCCATACTCATGTTGGCCAATAATAGTTACTCCATATAATCTTCCCCCTGAAATGTGCATGACCAAACCATACTTGTTTCTTGCTTGTCTCATACTTGGACCTCACAATCCTAAATTGAAGATAGATGTCTACTTGCAACCATTGATTGATGATTTATGTCTATTATGGACCAATGGAGTTTTGATATATGATATATCCACAAAACAAAACTTCATCATGAAAGCCTGCTTGATGTGGACAATTAATGATTTTCTGGCCTACGGTATGTTATCTGGATGGGGAACACAAGGTAAGTTGGCATGCCCTTATTGTATGGAACACACAGATGCTTTTACCTTGAAAAGTGGCCATAAGAATTCCTGGTTTGACTGTCATCGTCGTTTCTTGCCAACTAATCACTCTTTCAGAAGGAGTAAAAGAAGTTTCATAAAAAATAGGGTTGTGAAAGACGACCCACCTCCCGTTTCCATAGGTCAAGATATATGGGCAGTAATGAGTAATTTTCTAAAAGTGACTGAAATTGGATGGGAATAAAAATGGAAAGAGTTTGAAGGGTATGGAGTTGATCATAATTGGAAAAAGCAAAGTATTTTTTTGGATCTCCCATATTGGAAGGATAACTTGTTAAGGCACAACCTCGATGTGATGCACATAAAAAAAAATTTCTTTGATAATATATTTAACACTGTCATGAATGTTAAGGATAAAACAAAGGATAACGAAAAGGAGAGAGAAGACTTGGCTAAATTATGCTTTCATGGGGACTTAGAGCTCCAACCATTAACTAACAGAAAGAGGGGTAAACCAAAGGCAAGCTACACTCTGACCAAACCTGAAGTCAAGTTGGTTTGTAAATGGCTGAAGGAATTGAAAATGCCAGATGGCTATGCTTCAAACCTCTCTAGGTGTGCCAATGTCGAAAAGGGTACGGTGCATGGGATGAAGAGCCATGATTGTCATGTTTTCATGGAGTGTTTACTCCCAATTGCATTTCGTTTATTGCCGGATTTGGTTTGGAAACCATTAACCGAGCTAAGTCGATTCTTCAAAGACCTTTGTTGTAATACGTTAAGGATGGATGACTTAGTTAAGTTGGATGAGAACATTCCAGTTATCATATGCAATTTAGAAAGGATATTTCCACCTGGTTTCTTTGACTCAATGGTGCATCTTCCAATCCATCTTTCTAAAGAAGCGATGTTAGGTGGTCCAGTACAACCTTTATCAAGCGGATCTATGTTTGGGACATCCTTTGATTCAGATAGAGCATCTAGAACTAGAGCTGAACAATTGGCTGCAGTTACATCAGCTCGACTCCAAGAGGCTACCAAAGCTATTCATGCGTCAAATGAGATTGCTCAGAAGGCAACAGAATAATATCAAGCGTCTAATGAGTTTGCTAAGAAGATGGAGTCTGAACTGAATGCTTTGAAGGCATTTATCATGCAGAAGCTTGACACTACAAATGGTCAATCTGCTAGTGTTGCCATTCGATCGTCAAATCGTCACTATGATGATGATTTAGATGACCAATCATTAAGTGAAGATTGATCATGCAGTGTTAGTAGAAGTAGTCTCGGATGTAAATTTTTTTTGACATGATTTTCAATGTATTCCGAGTTTTTGGGGTTGTTTTTTGTTGTAGCTATGACTACTTTTTTTGTTGTTGTTTCAATCTATGTAATATTTTGATAACTCTTACTTCATATGTGTTATATGTTAAAGCATAATGTCTTTTTGCTTCTGAATTTTATATGTCATTTGCTAATTATCTATATTTTGTTATATGTGCTTTTGTTCTTTGGTTGTTTTTTTGAAGGAGAAGACATAAAATTACTTGTGATCTTGATAAATTGATTGAAGGAGAACACGACATGACATAATTGTCATCTATTGAAAAACATGGTCAGCATCTATAGAGTCTACAATTGGAAAACAGACATAATTTTGTTGACTTTTACAATTTGACTTTAGCCTCGGTTAGGCCAAAGTTAAATATTTTGTTGACTTATGAAGTTTGACTTTAGCCTCGAATCATTCGAGGCTAAATATTTTATTGACTTATGAAGTTTGACCTTAGCCTCGAAACAAGCGAGGTAAAATGTTACTTTAGCCTCGACCAGGGCCAAGGCTAAATATTTTGTTGACTTATGGAGTTTGACTTTAGCCTCGGTCAGGCCCAGGCTATTTTTTTGTTGTTGACTTCTTTAGCTTAACTTTTAAGTGTTGGCTTCAAGGCAGCCTTGATTTAGACTCGGCTAAACCGAGGCTACTGTAGACACGGATCTTTTTGGCCAAAGCTAAATGTTAGCTTCGATTGTTTTAGACTTTCCCCGACACCGACGCTACGTCGAGGCTAATTGGCTAGTAGCGTCGGTTTTTTGCCTTATAGTGCCGATAAATGGCCGAGGCTAAATAATGTATTTCTAGTAGTGACTATGCATTTGCTATCATTCGCTTAACCATTACACTGCATGAAGAGATACATATATAGGTAGCCAAGTCAGTTACAACAGAATAACAATTTAACCAACTACCTATAACAAACTTTCCTAGGATAGTATATGGTTTAACCAACTTTTAAACCCTAACTATAAGGGGAAAGATGCAATGATAATGAAGTTAAACCAAGTTATTTAACATCCCCCTCTAGCTTAAGCATGGTATATATCTATCATGCCAAGCTTGGAGATGAAATGTTGAAACTTGCTTGTGATCAAAAGCTTTGCAAGAAAATCAGCTAATTGTTCTTAAGAAGCTAATGGAAGAAGCTTTAAGACACCTTGCTTGATCTTTTCCCTTACAAGATGGCAGTTAATCTTAAGGTGTTTTGTCCTCTCATGAAACACAGGATTGGAGGCTATGTGGATAACACTTTGATTGTCACAATACAAGGCTGGTATTTTGGAGCATGTAATGTGAAAATCCTTCGAAATGTAAAGCAACCAAACTAGTTCACATGTGGCTGAACCAAGTACTTTATATTCTGCCTCTAAGGATGATCGAGCAATAGCTTGTTGCTTCTTGGCTTTCCATGAAACTAGTGATGCTCCTATGAAAAAGCAATAGCCTGATGTAGATCTTCTAGAGTCAATACATCATGCCCAGTCTGCATTAGTTTATCCTAGTATCTGCAACGATGAATCTCTAGAGAAGATGAGACCTCTGCCTGGATTTCCTTTCAAATACCTGATCACTCTACATGTTGCATGATAGTGGACCTGATTTGGACAACGCAAAAACTGGCTTAACTGTTGTGTGGCAAGTGTAATTCCAGGACTAGTATTGTTTAAGTACAATAATATGCCAATCAATCTTCTATAAGCAGTGACATCAAAAGGCTTGCTATTGTCTTGATGCAATTTGATTGAAGGATTGAGATGAGTGTCAACCGGTTTTGAAGCTAACAACCTTGTATCATTCAACAAGTCCAGGCAATATTTTCTTTGTAAAATTTTGATGCCTTTTATTGAGTGTGCCACCTTAAGGCCAAGGAAGTATTTCAAGGTTCCTAGGTCTTTGATTTTGAAGGCATTATGTAAAATGTGTTTATTGTGATCAAATTCAGCCAGTGATGTACCTCTCAAGATTACATCATCAACATAGACTAAAAGAATTATAGTGTGACCATTCCTTGCCAAGGTGAATATGGAATAATTTGATTTGGATTGAGTATAACCAAGACTGAGCAATAATTATGTGAGCTTCTCATACCATTTCTACTAGCCTATTTTAATACATAGAGACTTTTGACAAGTTTGCAAACCTGGTTGGTCTTGTCACATGTGATGCCTTGAGGAACACTCATGTAAACATCCTCCTCTAAGTCACCATGCAATAATGCATTATTGACATCAAGTTGATGTAAATGCCAATTCTTGATGGCTACAACAACAGGAAGGACTCTGACAGTAAATAATTTTGCTACAGAAGAAAAAGTATCAAAAAAATATAGACCTTCTACTTGACTGTATCCTTTTGCAACCAGTATGGCCTTATACCTTTCAATAGTGCCATCAGCCTTGTGTTTGATCTTGTATACCCACCTACTCCTAATAGGTTTGACATTGGGTGGAAGATCAATCAACTCCCAAGTGCCATTGATGGCTAAAGCCTCTAGCTCATAATTTATAGCTTGAATCTAATTCTGGTATATGCATGCTTCCTCGTAAGATTTTGGCTCATGATCAAGTGTAACAGACATACTGCAAGATCTGTGACTAGGAGACAGAAACTTAAAAATAATGAAAATAGGATATGAGATAGTGTAAACCTGAAGATGATGACATGGACTTAATGTTTGAATTATTGCACACATAATCCTTTAGATGAGCAGGTGGATGTCTGCTTCTTTTGGTGTTGTTGGAGCTGCCAGTTTAAGGAAGTATGGCAGACTGAGTTAATCATGTGTTATGGTTATGATCTTCGTGAGAGATATCATTAAATTATGAAGGGTCAAGCTTGAGGTTATGATCAGGTTCAGAAGTTGCATGTATTGGAGTTGTGTCATTTTGACTATTTTGAGGTTGGTAGCTAGAATAGTATTTCCAGTCAGGGTTAAAAGGAAAAATGTGTTCATGGTGAGTAACATTCCTAGATGTGAAAATGTAATGGTTATGAATGTCTAATAAGATCACTCCTTTAGTACCTTGCTTGAATCCCAAGAAAATGCATTTTCTTCCTCTAGGATCAAGCTTGGTCCTTTGTGATTGGAGGGTGGCAACATGTGTTAAAGAACCAAAAACTTTTAATGTTTGAAGGTCAGGGTATTTATTGAATAACAAAAAGAAAGGAGATTTGTTGTTAAGGACAGGGTTAGGAGTTCTATTTATGATGTAGTAAGCATGTGTAAATGCATATGACCAAAAGGTTTTAGGTATATTGGCTTGAAATAAAAAGGCTCGGGAAATGTTAAGAATATGTTGGTGTTTTCTTTCCACCCTTCCATTTTATTGGGGTGATTCAACACAGCTTGTTTGGCGTGAAATACCTTTGGAGGCATAATAAATCCAGGGCCATTATCACTTCTAAGGATTTTAAGTTTGGCATTATGTTGGGTTTCAATCATGTTAATGAAATTGATGATGTTTTGCCTAGTTATAGATTTGGCTTTCATTAAAATGATCCATGTATATCTGCTAAAATTATCTACCACAATCAAAAAGTAAGAGTGGTCATGATGAGATTTAATAACAATTGGAGCCTAAATGTCAAAGTGAATCAATTCAAAAGGAACTTTGGATTTATTGAAACTAGACTGGTAAGAATTTATTTTATGTTTGGCATAGTGGCATACATCACAAGCAATATTTTTGTCTACAACAATAAAGGGTAAAATTGTGTGAAAAGATTGCATTATACTAGGAGATAGGTGACCTAGTCTAAAGTGCAAAAGGGCAGCGTCAGGTAAATTGCAGGTTGAATAGTGGTAGGTAGCATGAGCATCACCATGCTTATCTTTGAGGATTAAGTGATACAATCCTTCAAAGCTTTCAACTAAACCAATCATCTGCATAGTTTTGGGATCCTGAATAAAATAATTAGAATGAGTAAAACTGACTTTGTACTGAGCTTGTTTACATAATTGTGAGATTGAGATGAGATTAACAGAAAAATCAGCAATATATAGAACATTATGAATAACAAAATCAGGAGAGAACATGACTGAACCAACATGTTTTGCTAAAGAAATGTGGCCATTTGTAAGTTTTACACTTATAGGTAGAATGGTTTTATAAGATTGGAACCATGATAGAGATGAGCAAATATGATCACTAGCTCCTGAATCAATGATCCAAGAGTTTAAGAAGCAATATTTATAAGCAAAGGTGTGAGATGTACCTTCAATGTGGCTTGTGGAGGAGCCAACTTGGTTGGAAACTGCATAAGTATTACCTTGACTAATGGAGGAATTTTGAAGGAGATTCACAAGAGCCTCATATTGATCCTGAGTAATTGTAGGAGAAGCATTTATAGCATTAGAACCTGAAGTATTAGAGTTGTTGTCTTCACCTTCAGTAGTGGCAGCATTATTGGCTATAGATGCTTTGCCAAAATGTGGTGGAAACCCATGCTTTCTGTAGCATACATCAATTGTGTGCCCAGTTCTGCCACAATGTGTACAAACTCTGGACTTTGAAGTGGTAGGAGTATTAGAATTTTGATATTTAAAGTGTGGTTTCTTGAATCCCACGACATTGATGAGGGCCTGAGATTCTTCTGTAGGAGCAAAATTTCCTTGTCTCTCATGTTGAAGAACCATAGAGAATATCCTATTCATGCTAGGGAGAGGATCCATGAGTAATATTTGTGATCTAACTACAACAAAATTTCCATTTAAACCAGTTAGAAATTGAACAGCATGAAGCAAATTGTGGTTCTTACGAGCTTGTCTCATAGCTTCATAAGAGCATCTTATTCTACAATTGAAATTAGGCATGGGCATGTAGATTTCAAGTTCTTCCCAAAGAACTTTTAATGTGTTATAGAATTTTGTAACTATTTTGGAATCTTACTTCAGGATATACATTTCTTGTTGCAATTCAGAGATT